GCCCCACACAGGACAGACATCGCTCCGTTCCACATCGTTCCACGGCTGACCCCGACATCGCTCCGGCCCCACGCAGGATCCACACATCGCTCCGGCCCCACGGACAACCCCAACATCTCTCCAGCCCCACTCTGAACCCCACACATCTCTCCAGCCCCACACACACCCCCAATATCGCTCCAGCCCCACACATCTCTCCAGCCCCACACACACCCCCAGTATCTCTCCAGCCCCACTCTGAACCCCACACATCTCTCCAGCCCCACACACACCCCCAGCATCTCTCCAGCCCCACTCTGAACCCCACACATCTCTCCAGCCCCACTCTGAACCCACACATCTCTCCAGCCCCACACAATCCCCACTCTCCGGTGCGCTCCCGGCACCGCCGCTCAGCTCCATCCCGAGTCATTTCCTGCCCCCGGGGCCGCCTCGGGAAGGTCCCCCCGAGCAGAGCGGAGCCGCTCCGGCGCCGACACCAACGGAGGATCATGAACTTGTGCATCGCCGTGCTCCTGGTCCTTCATTCCTTGCCAGGTAAAGGCGCTCCCCGGGTTTTCCCGGCGCGATTTGATTTTATTTCGCTGCTCTGATCATTCCCACGCTCCTGGGATGCTGCGGGGCAGTTGGGGGGGTCTGAAGGCTGAAAGGTTTTGGGGAGGCTGGCTTGGGAAAAGGGCACTGCAGGGGAAAAACACCGGGAAAACACGATGTGATTACTAAAAATGTCATAAAGTGTCTGCTTGGAGAACAGTGGGATAATGAATGTTTCCTGCATTGTGTTCAAATAATTCGCAAATTCCAGCTGGGAGCTATTAGAAGACATAGAGACAGWGAAAAAATCCCAACAGGATTTCCTGAGAATTACGTGGGCAGTTTGTAGACCGTGGAATTAGAGTGTTGAGGGAGGAAAACCCCAATGTGGGGCTGGTTAGGGATGAGCACGATGTCCCCCCRTTTCGGGGAAGGTGGGAAAACAGATCCGAGGGGAACTGAGACTGCCATGGCAAAACTCCCCCCTTCCTCTTTCTCTTCCTCCTCCTCTCCAGCAAAGGMACAGACCCAAACGTGAAACATCGGGCAGGGGATTCCCAGCTGGGAGCTCTGTTATTGTTAGCATGACTCAGTGTAAATACAAGAACCGACTCGGAATCRCTTCTTGCAAAAGCTCTGTGCACAGCACGAGGTGCCCCAGGGCCCCATTTCAGTGCACCGGAGCATTTCCAAAAGATGAGCATGGGAAGGTCCCAATTTCAGCCTTAATTTCCCTGACAGCTGAGGATGGGGATGGACAGGGTGAGGTGATGACACCGCTCTGTGTCCCTCCTGACCGCACCCTGCAGTCCTCAGTCTCAATCGCTGTTTTCAGATAATTTCCCAAGGAGAATTCTCAGACCTGAGCTTCTCCCCCAGCTTTTCCCAGCGCTGAGAAAGTGGGATATGACAGGAAGAAGCGGGACGGTTTGGAGAGGGACTGGGAGCTACAGGTGGCTCTAGGCATGACTGAGCATCATTCCAGCTATTCATGGTGTCACTTACAATGACAATAATGATCTTATTTATGACTATAAATGAGAATCAAGCTCTAAAAATACCGTATTATTCCATGAGTATCTTCTGTTCTYGTGAATATCTTAGTGTATGAATCTGTGACTACTAGAACATTGATATTCCCGATTAATTTGCTTTAAAAAATCTCTCCCAAAACTAAGAAAACACAGAACCTTATGTTTGGAATGTAGRTCCATAGCTGTGGGGCCACAGCTCAGCTGAGGCTCTGCACGA